TACATTCATAGTAAGACTGTGGAAGAAATGCACGAAAGTTATTTGTAACCAATCGACACGCTTTCTACAAGATGTAATGAAGGATGATGATTTTTTGTGTTTTTGTTCAATTAAAATAAAAAAACTTTTCAAAAAACGTGTGGGCTAGGTCTCTCTCACACGCACGTGCTGGCCAGCTGATTTTTGGCCTTGATCTTTGGCCATTTTTCACTCTCCGGATGCTTCTCTGAACTTCTGGTTTTACACCCTCTCCAGTCTTCTAGAAAGCCTCTGGAGCTTGCGGAGGCAGAAAAACGGACCTACTAGGCCCACCAGAAGTCAGAAAATGGGCCGTTTCTGACATCTGGACGGCGAGGAGGCTGTTTTCGCCCTCCCCGACTCCTAGAAAGGAGCCTGGGGAGAGGAAAAAACCAATCTACCGGGCCCTCCGGAAGTCGGAAAATGGGCCATTCTCCTATGATCATGCAACCAGCAGCCAGACCTGATTGCTCTGTCCAGTAACTAATTGGACTGAATCTACACTTGTGATGTCATCGAGACTTAGTGACTCCTCCCAGTTTAGACTCAGTCCAACCTAGACTAGCTGTGATAATTGATCTCTACTCAAATTTGGGGTTTTTTCGCACTAATTGGCATTTTTTTCAAAATTCTTTTTATTTAATTTTTTTCTCCTGTTCTATTGAGCGGAAGATTCAAATCTGCTTTCGAGGCTTTCTCTCAGCTGTCTGACTGTCTGCAACCACGAGTATGCTCCGGGACGCTATCCGATCTCAGTCAGACTACCCAGCTCACAAGCTATGACTCGGGCTCTTTTAAAGAGGTGCTCCACACTCCTGGGCATCCGGAACCATTAGAGAGCCGTGCGCCCAGCTCCTTCGCGCTTAGCGGCATTGGACTGAAGCGGCGGCCATTCTGCAAGACGACCAGTCATAAAGAGCAGCGGTTGCCATCTTGCGGCATGGAAAAGTGTGTAAAGACGACGACGGCCACGTAGTGGCTTGGAAAAGCGCACAAAGAGTGGCAGCCGCCATAATGAGTGCCCAGTGACTGGAGGTGATCACGGAGGTAATCACGGAGCAGAGGAGCGCAAGACTGGTGAGATCATTGCCAACTTATCTTCCCTGTTTGGGGGCTGGCATCTAGCAGCATGGCTGAGCAACCTGGGGTGGTAACTGTACCGGATAAAAGCCTAGAGGAGGCAGGGCCATCGGGAGTAAGGAACAGCCACAAAAGAGCAGCTAAGGAGGCTCCTGATTCAGGGAAGACTCCCAAAACTTCCAGGTCCTCTACTAGAGCTGAGGAATGAAGACAAAATGCCTTAGAGAAGGAATTTCAGCGGGCCCAAAAGCAACAGGTGAACCAGGACATCCAGGCCACTCTCCCCTTCCCATGGGGAATCAAGCAACCTCCCCTGCGCCCCCCCCCCCCGAGTTAACACCCATGGGCCCTTGCCCATCCTTGGATGATTCAGATGTGGGGATGATTCAGATGGGGAGTTGCCCTCTTCAGCCTCATCTTCCTCCATAGAGCCTGACACCAGGGGCAATTTCTTTGATGTCCCTCTCAATAGGGACCTTTGAACAAGCCAGCCTCCCCACAACTCAGTGCACAAGGGTACCTTCAGCTTTGCTCTCCTTCCCTACAGAAATGGCAGCCATAATTTCAGAAGCAATAAAACAAGGCATTGCTGATGGGCTCCAGCACGCAGGCTGCTGTGCCGGCTTCCTCTGATCGTCCTAACACTCTTTTCTTTGAACCTACAGTGGGAAAAGAAATTATTCCATCTCCAAAGATCTTCATGAATGTTGTCCAATGACAGTGGGATTCCCCTGGTACAGGTCCACAACCAACCAGCTTTGACAAACACTTCTACAACGTCGCTCCAAAACTCACCAAATTTCTTGAGACTCCTCCAGTGGATGCGCCGGTTGCAGCTTTGTCTTCATCCACAGTGGTCTCTGGAGTCCCTGAAGAAGCCTGAGGAGAAAAGGTCAGATCAAACGTTAGTTAAAGGTTATCAGCCTGGTATCTGGGTAGTTCGGGCCTCCACAGCCACTTCCTTTTTCTCCAGGGCTGCGCTAGTCTGGATTGAGCAACTCCAGGAGCGTATTGCATCTACTGATACCAGGTCACACATGGATTTAAACAAGATTAAGGCTGCCATTGAATATTCAGCAGATGCTTCCTTTAGCGCTGCCAGGTTTGCTTCTAAAGCCATGGCCGCTTCGGTCACGCCCAGGCGCCTGCTATGGCTCAAACCATGGCAGGCGGATGTTCATATCAAATGGCGCCTTGCAGCCTCCCCTTTCAGTGGCACTCAACTCTTTGGGGCTCCCTTGGATCCTTACCTCACGGAATCTAAAGATAAACACAAGGTCCTCTCCTCTATATACAAAAAACAGGACAGTCGTCCCTCCACTTTATATAGAAGGTCGCCCTTTCAGCCAACGGATGGGGGAATCCTCTTTCTCCCATCCACAACGTCAGTCCTTCACCCCCAGACAGGGATCCAATCAGGACAGGTCCAACTGAAACGTCCAACGTTTCCCCCTAAAGAAGTCTTACCAGGGAGGAGGTAACCGCCATTTCCCTAATCAAAAGTGACTATCTGGACCTAGCGTTTTTCGCTCACCGCTGGGAAGAGACCTTAACAGACAATTGGGCAATCAAAACAGTCAAAATTGGCCTCCTTCTGGAATTCCTCTCCACACACCCCAGGAACACTTTGTGCCATGCCCAAAATCCCAGTGCCCTCGCAAGAGGCTACTAATGGATCAGGCCATATAACATCTGCTAGAAATTCGGGCCATCCAACCGGTCCCTCCCCATCAGAGAGGTCAGAGTTTTTATTCCCGTCTCTTTGTGGTACCAAAGGCTTCCAGGAGATGGAGAGCAATCCTGGACCTAAAGTCATTGAACCACCACATTTGTTTATTGGTGGTTCAAAATGCACTCCCTCCACACTATCCTACAGGGAGTCAGAGAGGGCGATTTCCTCACCTCAGTAGACTTGACCGAAACTTACCTTCACATTCTCTTTGCAGACCACAAAAGATATCTCCGGTTCTCTTATGAGGGGAGGCACTTCCAGTACCGAGCCCTTCCGTTCGACCTCTCCTCCACTGGAGGAGTGAGTCTCAAGAAGAGCCACCTTGTCCCCGGGACTCACATTTTACATCTCGGTGTGATCATAGACACCGTGGCAGAGAGGGTATTTCTGTCCCAAGACCGCATCCTCAGCCTCAGGGAGTTAGTTAGAAGGGTCTTGCCCCTTCGCAAAGTGTCCCTGCTTCTGCTATCCCCGTTATTAGGGAAAATGGTGTCCTCCTTTTGGGTAGTACCGTGGGCCAGATTCCACAGCAGGTGCCTGCAGTGGTTCATGCTCCCACCTCAGAAAGCAACAGGAGCTGCTCCCACCACAGGATTCTCCTCCCCAGACAGGTCACCCAGTCTCTAAGGTGGTGGCAGTCCCCAGCGATCTTGCAGGCGACATTATTCAGAGAGCTGACCTGTCTCACTCTTACAACGGATGCCAGCTTGACAGGGTGGGGTGCGCACATGCAGAACCTGGTGGCCCAGGGTCAGTGGTTGCTAGAAGAAAGCCAAAACAGCATCAATTGGCTAGAACTGCGGACAGTGCACCTTACCCTGCTACGCTTCCAACAGACAGTTCAGGACAATCATATCCTAATCTTAACTGACAACACTACTACCAAGGCACATATCAACAGACGAGGGGGATGCGATTTTGGCCACTGATGCAGGGAGCCAACCTGTTATGCCAT